CATCACTCACATGATTAGCTTATAAGGCATCTATGACTAGCACTAATAAGAGCCAATGAGAGATTATTGGGTAAAGATCTACTAATTCAAGAGGCTTAGGTAGTTAGATGGAGATCTAGTATCTAATTGGGCTGGATCCATTATGATTAGGTTGATAGGGGGACCTCTATAAATAAGAGGGAACCGAATGGCCATAGGCTAGACTCATTTTGGCTGCCACCTTCTATACTCCTCGCTCCCTCTCCTCCTCAGCCAACAACTCCTATTTGGGCCGTGTGGATAGCAAGAAGTGCCGACCCCTGTTTGGGGCGTGTAGATAGCAAGAAGGGCCGACCCCTGTTTGGGGCGTGTGGATAGCAAGAAGGGTCGACCCCTTTTTTATCGCATGGTGCACATGAAAAAGGAGAATTATGCAACAATTTATGGATCGCCACTAAAGAGGAAGACAGTTGACCTCCTTTATCCTCTCCCACATATCTATAGGATTTCAAAAATATATAATTTACCTAGGTAACACATTTTTCATATACGCGTAATTTTTTGATTTTGTGATTTTTGCATACCAATCTTCACACAACGATAAAATCTTTTTCTATAGAAAATCTATAATTTTATTTTCTATTCTTCCGTTGTGCATGTGATGCTGTCCTAGATTTTTCAATATCATATAGTACCATCACTTAGGCCTAGCCTTACCATCGGCCCAAACTAGTTTATGCCACCAGTTTGGCCATCTAATGGGTCTAGTTTAGGCCAACTTTAAGCCCAATAGCTTTCGTGATAAATTATCTTTGTTTCGACCTAATACCAACTCAAACTAATTTAACATGACCTTGATCAAGACCTTGATAAATCAACAACTCATCTAGTACATTTTTGAAGTTTTTGACATGTTGTCCACTATTTCGTCATATCATCCAATTTTTCATCACTTTGTCCGAACCTTCGACATATCGCTGTATCCTAAGGCATATCAACTTTGCCACATTCAATCGTTTAATATGATATTTGATTCTTTCAATATAATATCCTAACACTTTAGCACGAAGTTCATTCTCTAACATATGGATTAATCCTTGACTTGATGTTTAATTTTTATCATTACATTTTTTAGGTACAACATCTGACATTTGGGACATCTGACTCTTTGATGGTCTAAGTCTATAATCAAAAATCTCATACATCACTTATCTTAAAAATATATTAATTTATCAAATTTATCTGTTAATTTTATCATTAAAATTTAGAATTTAATATTCCCCCTCACGAGGGAAACCAATAAAAAAAAAGATTGAAGAGAGAAGATAGCTTCCGTGAACAGCTCCTGTACCAAAAGGGCGCGAAACTGTGTTGGAAGCGTCGCATATTGGAACCGACCGGTGTTGAGTTGAGGTGACCTACTGGGCTAAAACAGGCTATCGATTTTGACCCCACGACCTGTAGGCCAGGTCATCGTTCTCACTGGAGGATGGGTCTAAAACCCTAGTTGGCGAAGCAGAGGTGGTCAGAGTAGGTTGGGGATGGGCAGAGGAAGAACAAAAGCTAGTTTTGTGACTGACCTGGCCACATTTGAAGCAAATGTTTAGCAAGTTTTCGAATGCCACCAATTGGAAAAACTGAGACGGGCCCTCCTTGATCCAAAGACCTTAAGGAAGGGGACGAGACAAGTCAAAAAGGATGCAAACCGTCACAAATTTACCTCTCGTATGTGAGAGGGTGACTTCATCTATCTTGAGGAATTGTCTTATTTTGGAAGCTAAAGCATTTTGGGGCTAAAGCATTTATAGAGGAAGGCCAAGGAACTGAATCTAGGTAGAGATTATTTTTATTTTTTTCTAAGAGAGGTTGAAAAGTAGGCTTTCAAGGGATTAGAGTCGAGGCTCGTCCTTTGATGAACCAAAGTCTACCAAACAAGACATGGAGTATTTTTGTTTCCAAATTGAAGTGAAAAAAAAAGAAGAAACCAGTTGCAAGGTCGACTATCAGAAATTAAGTGGGTAAGCCCTAGAGCTTAGGGAGAGAAGTTCGTAGAAAATCTAAAGGAGGGATTTTGCCTAGAAACTTACTATGGAGGGGGAGTTTCTCATGGATTTTTGGCTAAGGGATAGTTCCGCAAGGTCAAGCTTGAGGCATAGGGAGGATTGGGACTAAATTCTCTATAGTTTGGTCTCTAGAGTGGGATCTGGGCGCCAGGCACTCACCCCATGAGCTCTCTGGAAGAGGCCACCCCACAAAGTTGGGTTGGACGGCTCCACAGAGGACGAGATGCGGGGAAGAGAGTCGATCGAGCCTTACGGAAGTACAATCGAGTCGGAGGCAGTCGAGACAGCAACCTGCTCTGGGTGAGAGGAACCTAGTTTCGACCCATGAAGAGCGACGGGTGGGGAGTGCTTTGGACAACACAACAGATGGTGGGGGATCTCTTTGTGCTAGCTAGAGGAGCATAGGATGACGAGGAAGGCCGATTTGGAAGAGGGGCAAAGGGAGTGGGGTCGGGGGGCCGATTTGGCTGACGAGGAAGGCCGATTTGGATCTCTTTGTTTCTTTCCTTTATTCATATATTGAATGAGCATGTTACATAGATAATGATTATATGTGTATACGAGCTAAATTACATGAGATTGACACATAACCATTGTATCTTATTCCTTGAACATGAATTTCATAAGAATTTTTAAGCTTATCAAATGATTTATATTATTTCAGAGTATTTATTACAAAAAATTTCAATACAAATTTAATTTATGCTCTTTTATCATAATCACTGTGTACGGAATTTTCATGATGAAATAATTGGTGTTGTTTCATAAGTATTATATTTTGTTATTGAAGTTATACTCATGAGTTTGAGATTCTATGGTATTTCTGACTCAACATGTTGCTAAAATTTTCAGAGTAATTACATCCCAAGAAACTTTAATATCAATTGTTATGATGGATATGAAATTTATATAGAATATATAACTAAGAAAAACCCAAAAAGAAAAGAAAGCTAGCTCTGTATTATGGACGAGAAGTGAGTTTTTGGGGATTCATCCAAATGGTAACAATTCGACTTCTACAAATGGTTTAGTAGAACGTGAACATTCGGTATTTCTTTTTCTTTCTTTGTATACTCCCTCTCTTCACCTTTTCTCTTCTGCATTGTTTCTTTCGAACTCCCTTTTTGTCTTAATTTTGTTTCGCAATCTTCTGAAATTAATTCTTTCTGTTGAGAACTCCCTTCAGTTTGCTTCCAACGAGGAAGAACAGAAGAGAAAAACACTGGCAATAAATTCCTTGACTAAATATGTATTCACTAACAAATTGTTTGCATCAATACTGCCATAATTCTGAATGCAAATCAATCAAGTATTATTGTGAAATTTTGGTCCTCCTGAATTGAAGTTACATACATACATACATACAGCACTGCACTGCCTGGTTTCGCGCGCTTGTACCCAACAAATTAATGCACAAAATGTATGACGAAACCAAAACAAAAGAATGCCAAATTCCCACTACTTGGGTTCAATCCTCGCCGAGTACGCCCCGCTGTACTCAAACGCGCTGCTGCTCTCCTCGTTTCTACTTTTCATGTTATCATGATAGGGATGACGAGGAGCTCCCATCGCTTTCCCAAATTCTGTGGCCGACGAGGATGCGGAGCTCGGCTGCGTGTTCAATCCATTACTCTGCAGTATTGTCTCGATTTCCTTCACCACCTCATTCATCGTCGGCCGGTCGGCAGCTGATTCCTCCACGCAACGTATCGCCAACCGAACAAACCTCCGAAGCCCTGTGAGGTTTCCCACGTCTCGTATAACAGGATCCATCATCTCCCTGAGGCCGTAGTACTCTTCGTCGTAGTTGTCGACCGCATTCCTAATTTCGCGGACGATGTATTTGCCCTTCTCTATTGGTTGCCTGGCTGTGATCAGCTCAAGCATGACCACCCCAAAGCTGTACACATCACTCTTCTCCGACAGCTGCTGAGTCATGTAGTACTCTGGATCCAGGTAACCCTGCAAAAGTTGAACCAAGCGATGCATTAGCTGAGCTGCGAGATGCAAAAGTTTGGTGAATGCATGGGAAAATAGTTCAGAGACGGACTCTCACCAACGTTCCTTTAACTTGGGTGGAAACATGTCCCTTTCCGGTGTCCGATACTAGTTTTGACAGGCCAAAATCTGCAACCTTTGCATTCAAACTTTCATCCACAAGGATATTGGTGGACTTGACATCTCTGTGAATTATGGGTGGATCAGCTAACTCATGAAGATAAGCTAATCCTCTGGCTGAGCCCAGTGCGATTCGTAGTCTCTTCTTCCAATCCAACTGTCTGCCACTTCTCCCTGCAGATTACGAGAGAAAAGGAAGGCCAGGTTATTGATGGTAGATGATTGGATCAGGTTCCTTTGAGAAGTGGCCGTGTTGCAGACCTGTCAAGTTCTCCCTTAATGTTCCATTGGGAATGTATTCGTATACCAGCATCTGTTCCCCTTGTTCGAAACAAAAACCTACAAGGTCTACCAGATTTTTGTGGTGAACCCTAGAGAGCAGTTCGATCTCTGTCTTGAATTCTAGCGCTCCTTGCATGGATCCTTGCTGCGCCCTCTTGATTGCAACCATCTGCCCACTCGAAAGAATTCCTCTGTAGACCTGGAAAAGAAGTCACAAAGTTCATTGCTTTCTCCTTGGTTCAATCTTTTCTCGAATGAATTCAGGCAGAAAGTTTTCTTTAGAGAACCATTGATGTACTTGTTGATTGATGTACCTTTCCATAGCCCCCAGAACCGATTTCATTGGCGTCTGAGAAATTGTTGGTGCATTTCTTGATCTCGTCGAAAGGAAACCATCTTGCTCCTTTGAGTTCCGGTGCGCTACCATCGTCTTTACCACCGGCTCCCCATGAAGCTGCAAAGTCGAGGAAACGTCATCTATGGTGCCATCCAACACTATTACTTACCTAACATCTTGTTCACAATCTCCTGCTGGGAAAGGAAAATTACCGAAAGGCCTGCTCTGTTCAATAGCTCTTTTAGCCTTTTGCTTTTGTAGATAGGCATAGATCCCAACACAAACAAGTCCAATAACAAGTATGATGCAGCCGGCAGCTATTCCAGCAATAGCGCCTGTACTTATTGTCGTCTTTCCACTCTTCCCACCTGTGAATATTAAGTTACTTCTTCAGCAAATTTAATCTACAACAAGGCAGCGTTCAGGTTCGAAGTCGGAGGAAGTGTGGATTGATACCTGAGAAGGTGTACGGGAATGCTAGGAAATAATATGGTCCAAAAATGTCAGGAGGTTTGTAGGTTTGGTTGCTCAGATAAAACCCAATTCTTTGGATCTCTGACCGGTTGAAGTACATTCCACTCGAAGGGAACAGCGCCAGGTTGAGTTGAATGTAGTTATCACTGTTGAGGAAGAGGTCGGAAATGTATACGGAACTTGGAGCAAGTCCAAGTTTAGTCCGCAGACTCGTCTCCAGCTCTTGGAACAAGGTGGCATTCGTCAGATCTCGGAAGGAGGGTGCTCTGAAAACCATCAATCCTTGATATGGATAGGCACAGGAACAGCTCCGAGGGTTAAGTTTCTGCTCCGAGGAGCATGATGTAGAACCACCGCAATTGGCTAAACTGGTGGAGTACGGCGTTTCTGCTTGTTGCTGCAGGAGGCAATAGCTTTTGGTGTTTTCGGCGGAAGAACTACACAGAGGATTTCCATACAGTCTGCAGTTGTCGAGCAACAAAAGAGAAACATGAAATCATGCTTGCGTATGAGTCCGTGAAGAATACGAAAGAACTTTTCGAGATGAACTCACATTAGAGTTTTGGTGAAACTGGATGTTAGCACGACCTCATCGATGGAATTGTTCCTGAAATTTACTAGCTGTAGTTGTGGACTGATGATGCTGCCCATGTTCAGTGTACCATTGAATCTATTATTATCAAGCAACCTGTTGAATGTATGAGCTGATGAGATTTCTATACGAGGGGAATGCTAGAAGAAATGTTCCTTATAGGATTCGATTGGAACTTGTTAATGAACTCACACTTGCTGCAATTGAGGCAAGCTGAATAAACCTTGCGGAATTTGGCCAAAAAGCCCTCCAGATTCTATGACTCTGCAAATGGACCAACAATGATGTCTCAGCTCCCTCGACTTAATTCCAAGCAAAAGCGCAGAATGTGGTAAGGAGACTCACAAGGTGGTGAGAGATTCTATTGTGGTGAACCACCCCGGAGCTTCTGAAGGACTGAAGGAGTTGTTGCTCAAGTCACTGTACCACACATCATGCAAGGGATAAGTCGAGGAAGTTTATGTTGGTCGGTAGCAGAGCTACACAATGGTTGCTTACACATAATTGAGGTTGTTCATTCCTGTCAGATTCGGCAGCGATCCAGTTAATTGATTGTTTGCCAAGTTCCTGCAAGAAAAGGAAACAGCGAGTGTGTCAGCAGCCCGTGATGGATTCGCCGCCTTTGATATCATCACTTACAGTTCATTGATGCTTGTGAGATTGTTAATGTCGGATGGAACAGGACCTCCCAAAGCATTATTGTCAAGCCGACTGTTCGAAGAAGAAGATAGCACAGCACGTGAGATCAAAAGATTCCAACCCTTCAAGCGGTCGATAAAGAAAGGCAAAGAAAACATCATCAGTCCACGTCACTTACAGAACCTCGAGCGTTTTCACCAGTTGTACCGAGGATGGAATCGGACCAGTAAATTTATTCGAGTCGAAGAGTCTGCCAGAGATCACGATTGCAGTCCTTTGAAACTAATGGGAGGCGATCAGTACAAAAGACTCAAAATCCAAACTTACATGTGTATCAGTGTCATCTCGGAGCTGAAGAGTTGTTCTGGAATTTCTCCTGATAACTGGTTCTTGTTGAAGTGACTGCGAATCAACCGGAACAGTAACTCGTATCATTTATTCATCATGTTCTGGTCAACCCAGTTGCAACGCACAACCAGATTAATCCTTCTCTTCGATGGAAGTAGATTGAGCCATTACTTACAAGTGCTTGGTGTTGAGGAGCCGGTCCAGGCCCGGTGTCGCGTTGACCGAGATAGGGAGAGATCCAATCAACTGGTTGTCTGCCAGATCTAGCCAATACAGATTAGAGAGGAGACCCAGTGAAGCTGGAATCCTGCCGTTGAACTTGTTTGAATTCAGAGCCCTGGCGAGTTTGATTGGCAGCCAATTATGACATTCGAAGAACAATGATGGAATTGTGTAAAACAAAAAAAGGGAACGCTTACAAGAAGGAGAGCAGTTTCAAGTTGCCTAATTCCTCTGGGATTTTGCCATTGAAGCTACAGCCAGCCAAGATCCTGGTAAGTGGAACAACACAAGTTTCAGCCAATTCATTACGTGTCAAACTAATAGGAATCGGTTTTCAGTATTTGGGAGTCCGTTCCGTGCTTACAAAGTGGTGAGCTTCTTCAGGTTCCCAATATTTGGAGTGAGTAGCCCACCGAGATCTCCGTTGTACGACAGATCCCTGCAAATAGATGTGCTATTAAGTGAGATTTATGCATACTACTGAAAAATGTTGCAACGTCATTTGCAATCACAGGTTTAATCAGAATTTGGATTAGGAGAAGACAACGTACAAGGATTGCAACTCCGTGAGTTGGCTTATGTCGCTGCTTAATGTACCTTTGATTCCCATCGTGGACAGTCTCCTGCAATGACCACAGCTTAAGCATATGGAAGGGAGATCTCGACAAGGAGGTCAGGTTTGCAGCAAACTCACAGTGAGGTCACCCTGGAGGCGTCGCAGAAAACTCCTTCCCATGGCGAACCACAGGGATCACTCGACTGCCCCCACGTTGGTGGAGCATTCTTCCACTCACTCAGCATGGATCGCAGAGCGGCAGCTGTACATTTCTTTCTCATCAACATAAGGAATCAAAGAGGAATGTTTTCTGCAATCCATTCTGAGAGTTCATACGACCAGAGAAGATGCTGCAGCGGCACGAGAACTTACCATCCTGGGGATCGGTGTCGCAGGAACCAAGACGAAGATGACCTGTAAGGATCATGAACACGAGCAAAAGGCCGGAGACGGTGCCCATGTCGGAAGGCCAGCGAAGTCACCGGCGAGTGATCGATCACCCTTGATATCACAAGGCCTCGGTTATGTCAGATCCAACAACCATAACCCGCAATAATTCTCCTCTCTTTTCCACGCCTTAGTAGCTGAGGAACAATTGATGAAGATGGAAGGAAGGTTGGACTTGTCTTGGAAGCCATTCTATCATGTGAAATAAGATCGATTTGATTCCCTAAGCACCATGCAAGAATGAGGTAATGGGGATTGGACTCGTTGCCATTTCTCGGGGTTTGAACAAGGAAGCTGCACGTGCTGTTTGAATGGTTCCAGGGGTGTTTCATCTATTTGTTATCGTTGAGTTGGGTGGTTGGGTGGAGGACCCCGCTATGAACAATTCTTCCCTGTCACCCAATAACTTGTACCAACTGCCTCTTTGCAAATGGATGTAATCTTGTTTAGTTGTTGGAAAGAAGCAATCGGAAGAGTTGCCAGATGAGCGCAGCATTCTCTGCACTGACTTGGTAAAAGTCAACTCTTAGCAGCTGGCTCCTAGTTGGTCATATTTGCGTCGGTCAACGCCTGGGGGTGGTCTTATTAATTCAGGATAAACACAAAGCACAAGAACTGCTGAGGCCATCATCAAATGAAAGATTCAATCTCCTCTCTTTGACCACTCTTCTCTAATTTCTTTTTAATTTTTTTTGACGGACGATTTTTCTACAAAAGTGTTTTTTCGAAAGGTGCCCTTCTTTTAGTTTTCCTGGACAATGTCCTCTAATTTTAAAAAAATATCTAAAATACCCTTTATCAATTCTTTCTTTTAATTTTTTTCATTAGTTTTAAACCAATACGGTGCTTTTATTTAGCTCATCTATAGTATATTTTAATAATATTTTTATTAAGATATTAAAAATATAAAATTATTAAAAAAATACTATAAATGACATCATATTATATCTATTATTTGTCATTGCTCGAAGACCATTACGATACCATATTTTTAAGTTTGTAGTTAGTTTGATTAAGATTATGAGTCGATTTAGATCATATACGATGTTTTTAAGTAGGTTTTGTAGTGTTTTTATTATGATTATTAAAATATTAAAATAAGTTAATTTTTATTTATATTTGGGTGATATCATTTTTAAATTATTATAAATACCTATTTAGATCCTACTATGATATATTATATAATTTCTGATGTGTTTTGACTCCATTTGACTCACTTATAGTGTTTTCTAATAACATTATAGTATTTTAATTGTGGTATTAAAAATATTATAAAACTATTAAAAATAAATATTTTAAAGTTACTAGAAAAATACTATAATTATCATCATATTGTATCTTTTTACTTGTTATTGTTCATACGCCATTACGGTACTAAATTCTCAGGCTTGAAGTTGATTAGATTGATATATTGAGTCCATTTATATCATTAAAATATTTTTAAAATAATATTTTTATTGTGGTGATCAAAACACTATAATGGATGGGAATAATATGATCAACTTTCTTAGGGCAATTTGAATACCATTTGAATTAAGATGCAACGTTTATGTTTATGAAAAACCAAAAGAACAAGCACCTTTTATGAAAAGCTAAAAAAATATTTTTAAAAGGAAATCCGCCGTTCTCTCATTCCAAACTTATATGGAAGGATTTCATGATTATATGGGAATGGAGATTTCTTGAATAGACATCAACACATATAATGCGAGACATTTTTTTTTGTTTTCGGATTTTTGTGTGATAAGTATAGAATTTATAGATTTTGAGAAATATATCTATTATTTATCATTTCAAGATTTCAAAATTATTTATCACTTTTCATGATATATATATTGTTAAATCTTGGATTTTGATAATGAAATCAATTAATGAATTTATGATCTAATTTATGTTTTGTGTGGTATAAGACTAACTTCAATCAAAAAAGGTAAATCGATTAAAGCAAGAGGAATCAGATGTTGGGTCGGAGTGAAACATGTTAGAAAATTGGACGTCGAGCCGGAAGGTCGGTCGACGTGCCGATAGAAGGACTTCGTATCGTGAATTTGAGTATCGGCCGAAGGACCGGACATTGCGCCAAGGAGATCGTAAGTTATGGGTGGTCAACATGCCGATTGGGCAATACGTCGAAGGAGAGGACGATGCGCCAAAGGATCGAACGAAATGCTAGATGAACCAATGACATGCCGGATAGTATAAAATTCTAACCTTGTAATTAGTTGATTTAATTGGTCATAGTGAGGTTGTAATTAAGTTGGTTTCGAGTGTAACCATACCAACTCAATTAAGACTGATTGAGACTGTTTTGGGTCAAGTGGAAAGCTCATTCGGTCACCGAAGGTTAATAAGAATTACCTATGAGCTGAAAAAATCAAGAACACACTTTTTTAGACTGTCAAGCGATGGTATCACCTAGTGTCAGTACTGGTACCTCCCAACATAGTGTTAGGATCGGAGTGACACTAGGGGGGGGGTGAATTAGTGTAGCAGATTAAAACTTGTATGTTTGAAAATGATTTCGTAAATGTATAGATATTTCGATTCGACAAAGAATGACTTGGTAAAAGTAGCTCGAGTAAAGTAAGGAGATGAAAACCAAAAGCTTACTGTAAATAACGGTTTCAGAATGGTAAACACTCACACATTCAAGGAACACACCAATTTAAAGTGGTTTGGTCAAATGACCTACATCCACTTGCGAAGCCTTCTTTGATGAGGCTCCCAACTTCCACTAGCAAATCGCTTTGAAGGGGAAGGACAAATACCCCTCTTACAACTTTTTACAAGTGGTTCATACTTTTACATATTTTCAAAGGGAAAGAGGGAGGTGAACACTTAAGCTATTGAAAACAAGACTTGCTAAAGACTTTGCTAAGGCTTTATCTCAATCTCTAACTTCTCAAAGGTTATGTTCTCTACTGAGAATTGAGGGGTATTTATAGGCCTCAAGAGGATTCAAATTTAGGCTCCAAATTTGAATTGCTTTTGGGTTTCTCGGTGCTAGCGATGTCATCGCCTGTCAGTGTCTTACACTAACAGTGTACTGGCGGTGCCACCGTCGAAATTCTCGGGTTTTGGGCGGTACCACCGCCTAGTCCGACGGTACCACCACCCGACCTTTCGGGTTCTGGGCGGTGCCACCGCCTAGTTTGACAGTGCCACCGCCTGACCTTACAGGTCACTGGTTATGCTCCTAATTTGGCCTAAACCAATCTATCTTAGGGCCCAGTTGGCCCCTAACCAGGTTATAGGGTTAACCCTTAATCCTAACCTTAATTATATATAAACTATGAAATTAAGACATAATCCTAAGCAAGTTTTTAACTGACAATGTCGAGTTTCCTTCCGGCGAGCTTTTCGATGAACTTCCGGCGGACTTCCGATACACCCTTGGATTTCTTCCAACGGACTCCCAGTAGGCTCCCAGTCTTGTAGCGAGTTTAGTGAGTCTTTAACAAGTAGCCGAACCTTCTTGGTGATCTCCACGAACCTTCGACGATCTCTCCAGCGGACTTCCGAAAACTTTGGCAAGTCTCCGATTTCTTCTCGATTGGTTCCGGTAGTATTTCCGATGAATCTTCAGACTCTCGGCAGACTCTCGAACACCCATCAAACTTGACTCCGGTAGACTTACTTTATGTCTTCAAGCTATCGTAGTTAATCCTGCATACTTAACTCAATAATATGGATTAGATCAATTAACATATCAATTGATTTCATCATCAAAATCCGAGATTCAATAATCTTCCCCTTTTTGATGATGACAATCAATTGATGATGGAGTGAAACATAACTCCCCCTATTTACATGCCATATAATGAGAAGATAAAAACTCTTGAATTCAATCTCTTTGAATTCAAGCCTAAACCGATAAGTTCTATCTGTTGAACTTATCGTTATTTTCTATAAGCATGAGCAAATATGAAACTTCGTATTTCTCATAATTTCAAGTTATGAAAATTATTTTCAAGTCGAATGATAAAAGACAATTATTATTTCGACAAGAGATATGAACTATCAACATAAATCTCATGATATAAATGTAAGACATGATTTCATATGATCATGAGATGAAACGATAACTAATCTAAAAACTTTCATATTGCGATATTCTCAAAAAGTTTTACGATGCATATATGATATTTTTGCGATGCATATAAGACATTTGCATTACACAACATATTAGCTTTTGTAATTCATATAAGTCATGCTATCACATTTGCGATGCATATAAGACATTTGCATTACACAAGCATTTTGCAATTCATATAAGTCATGCTATCGATGCATATAAGACATTTGCATTATACAAGCTTTTGCAATTCATAT